CTGTATCAATTAAGTTGAGATGAAAGCACAAAAGCTAAAAGAGAAAGGATGTCCAACATGGTCAAAATAAAAAACAACATTGCAGAATCAATTTGATTGATCTGTTTATCGAAGGCAGCATTTAGTACATGCTACCGTCGTGTCCGTTAAAAGACACTTTCGCGCCGCCCAAACCGCCTCCGTGGCCGAGGGTTTAGAGTCGATGACTACTAATCCAGTTACCTCTTTTGCGTGGGTTCGATCCCTGGGAGATGCTTTGGTAGTTTAGCGCGGAGGAAGGTAGTCTAGTACTGGTGTAACTCTCCAGGAACGATGGTTAGGAAACTACCCGCCTATATGACTGAAATACTGTTGGGAAAAGGCGTAAAATGAAACAAACAAACAAACAAACAATAAAAATAGAGTTACGGTCTTAAATTCAAAAAAGGTGTGTACCATAGACAAGAAAACAATGATCTGAAATTAAGCATTAGAATGAGAGATACGTTTGAGGGGGGAAACAGCGTTGAGCAAGCCTGTGAATCACAGATAAATCTCATAAGATAAAAACAAAAAAAAAGAATTAAGACAACATGCCCAAACGTACGTTTATGCATAATGTGAAATTCTCTATATTGGCCCTACAATATTTTCCCCAAGAGTTCGAAAACATGTAATTACCATCCTATTTGTCTTCCTTTTTCTTTTATTCGAAGGTCGACTTTTACCTTACTCAGTTTCATTTTCATGTACGTGACATTGAATGGACAATTTTGAAACAAACAAAAGGTCGACATTATTTGTTATTTTGCCCTTAGGAGGAAAACAAATAAGCAAATTACAAAAATTTCCAATTCTTCAAAAATTTTAAATTGCATCTGAAACCTTAATATATATATGTCCTGTTTTTGATCGAAACCGAACCTATGTTCAGTTGTTGCTGGTATTTTTTCCTTTTTAGGCGATTGAGTTAAACGAAGGACATAAAAAAAAGAAACAAAAAACAGTGAAATGTATCGAATGTAATTATGTGTTTATTAAATGTAATTATGTGTTTACTATTCTTCCGTATTTGCGCAAACTAATACAATTCAAAAAAGGCCTTTTACCACAAGTTACCTTTTCAAAAAAAATGTCAGAAGAGGAAAAACATTACTTGATTAAATCATTTGATGAATGAATTTTAACCTTTTGCTCCTTATATTATGTGACTAACGATGTCCCTATGTTACCAGGACAAAGCCAGAGCAAGTCCGGATTTAAGTGCAAGTCCAACCAGTCTATACATAGAGTGTTAAAGACTCAGACCAGCCTTATATACTTGTTTGCTGCTTATTTTCAATTAAGCATGTTGATATAAAGATAACATTATAAACTGACGGTTCTAGATTTAAAAACCCCGTGTATGAGTCGCGTACTTAAAAAATACCACAGTTCCAGCCCAAGATGACGTCATTCTACCGTTATAAATAAAGTTGTAAATTAATTGGCCACTTTCTTAGCTAAAAAAAACAATAGTATGGTAATCACTTTTTAAAATGTAATTTTAATGCCATGTGCAAGAAAAAAGTATCAAACACAGGCTGTCGTCACATATGGGAATATCCTGCTCTCGGGTATATAGCAGTTTAGCTTAAAGACGAAATAGATTTGTAACCGTCGTAAACATTTACCCTCAAGCCCGACAATCCGGTCTGTAAGTCGCGGTGTAAGATTCATAATACAATTATATGTAGAAATACTACAAGCAAGGTACTTATATAAGAAGACAAATATGGTCGACTGTAATATATTTTTTTTCTTTAAAACTTGCCTAATAGATGGATTCGTATAAATGATTATAAATGTCCATGATCAAGTTACATGTTTTATTTTATAATTAGTGGTTGCAAGTTATAATTTATACTGAAGTATTTATGATCCAACGAAGGACATATGATATTTACTGTTATGTAAATTTGTAACGCATAATTCTATTTTGTATTGGTTAGAATAAACATAAGCATTCAGGTTTACAACAAATAATTCTTTTTTATGTTGTTGTTGTTATTGTTGTTGTTGTTGTTGTTGTTGTTCTTATATTTATTTACTTCTTCTCCTTCAACCTCATCCTCCTCTATTGCATTTTCTTCTTTTTCTTCCATCATCTCTATTTCTTTTTCTTCTTATTCTTATTATTATTATTATTATCATCATTATCATTAGTTTTATTATCATTTTTATTATTATCATTATTATTATCATCATTATTATTATTATTATTATTATTATTATTATTATTATTATTATTATTATTATTATTATTATTATTATTATTATTATTATTATTATTATAGTCATCATCAGTTACTGTATCATTATTTGAAGGCAGTTTAAAACTGATGACACGAATGTTGCATGGTTTTCGCAGACCTGTATCAAATAAATTTAAGATGTTTTAAAATGTGACAGGTCTAGACAACGGGACAATAATTCTTAAACAACCGTATTGTGTTCGTATCTTACAACTTTTTAAAATGTACGTAGTTTCAGGTGATATTAATCGTACAATTTATTCTAAAAACAATGACTCTGAAAGTTACATTTGATTTATATGTAAATGTTACTAAGATTTGTAACATATTTTGCATATAAGATTTTTAACTAAATTAACAAATATATATGAGTGTCCATTTAACTCTTCCATATTCCAATATTTTCCCTAAAACATTGTCCTGTAAATAAATATTCATTAAATTAAAACAGTTTAAATATGAATGCTTTTTCCTACATCGTTTCTCTCAACTCCAGTGGTTTAATTTACAAAAAGCAAAAGAAAAATAGTTCACGTACTATTCTTCGGTTAATGTACGGTATCTCGTTCATGATAGGATAGGTTTACAAAAAAATAACAAACGATGTTTCCTGCTGTGTATCAAATATCTTTTGAGAAAATCGAATTTGGCTATTAAAAACTTTAAGATACCTTAGTTTTGTATGAATTAACTTGTGCATATACAAGTAACATGTATTTTTAAATGCTTTATTTTTAATAAGTCGAAGAAATTGCATTGGTATATTTTTACACGCCTAGTGAAATATTTGATTTTGATTTGTGAATTTTCCCAGCTCGATTGAAAAATTCTGATTCAGAATGATTTGTGAGTAGGCAATACTATAATGACGTTAATCATTGCTTTATGAGTTAAATGCAAATTGTCTCGATTGATTACTTTTTATTTTGCTCTCTTTATTCAGTTTTCTGCTCTGTTTTCATCTTTTTGTCCAATTTCATCTACATGTATTTGTTAAATATTTTTGCTCTGTTTTCATCAACATTTTATATTTGTTTAATTTCTTCATATTTTCATCGATTTCATCAATTTTCGGGGTAGTTTTCATTTATTTATTTAATTTTTTGTTCTGTTTTTTTTATCTATGTTTTTCTTTTTTCTGCAAGATTTTATATCTGTTAAATTTTCTGCACTGTTTTTATCTATTTGTTCAATTTTCTGCTCTGTTTAATCTATTTTCTCATTTTTTATCTGCTCCAACAACAACACCAACAATATATATTTCCTGCTCTGTTTTTATCTTAATTTTTATTTTTATTATACAATCTACTTTTCCATTTGCTTTGCTCTTATTACCTCTAAGTAGCTATAATGTGGTAATATGATACTTTCACAAATTAAACCTTGAGAATTTAGAATAATGACTTATTATAATGAATTTGCCGTCCTTGACACTTTCACAACATTTATAGTCATATATCTTATTTATAAAGTAGAATGTCCTCAAAATAAAACAAATGTCAAATTAAGATGAATGGATATACAATGTACAATGTAATCATTACTGGACGTGCAATGTAAAGTAAAAAGTCATTACGAAATGTTGACTATCATTACTTTCACTTTTACAACATGTTACATTTAGATAAGCTAAATAAATGGCCCTTTCAACATATAATCAGGCAAATTTTACTGAAATGAGCCGTGTCACGACAAAACCAACATAATATGTTTGCGACCAGCATGGATCCAGACCAGCCTGCGCATCCGCGCAGTCTGATCAGGATCCATGCTGATCGCTTACCAACTCTTTTACAAGTAGAGAAACTGAAAGCGAACAGCATGGATCCTGATCAGACTGCGCGGATGCGTAGGCTGGTCTGGATCCATGCTGGTCGCAAACCCATTATGTTGGTTTTGTCGTGACACGGCTCAAATGTCTATTAAGATTTCCCAGAATTTTCAAGAATGGCATACGTCTGAAACTTTAAACTTGAAAAGTTTATAAATAATTAAGTTGTGTCATATTTCAGTGCATGTTCACGTACGTGCTATTTCTATCTTGTCCTTAGCCATACCTGTGTATATTGCACATTTCCACCAGAAACTAAATCTAATTTGAAATCCATACATAGTTTATCACATTCTTTTGCAATCTGCTTTTACACTTATTTCGTCAACAAATATAGATACAATACAATAGAGTTATGTTTCAATTCTTAGATATACGCTTTTGTATGTATACTATTTTAACTATATAGTAATTTGAAAAGAGAACCTCAAACATTTTCTTTCTTTTTTTGTGGTTTTGTTTATTTGTTTGTTTGTTTGTTTGTTTGTTCGTTCGTTCGTTTGTTCGTTCGTTTGTTTGTATTTGTTGGGTTTCTTTCTTAATTTTATTTCTTGTATGATATTCTCTTGGAAATCAGATATAGCAATAAAGTGATATTTACAGGATTATTTACATTTAAATGATAATCTAATATTCCTTGCCAATGAAATGTATTTGATAACATATAATTATATATGCATATTGTTAGATATGATATCGTCAATGTTTTCCTTGCCTTGGCTATTGTCATCACAGACATGTTGTAGTTTTCAAAAATTTACTTTTTACAACGTATTAACGTATGTAAATAAAAACGCATACTTTACTTACGGAAACTTTATTTACAGAATGTAAAGTAAAAATTAGGTCTATCAAATGATTGCAAGACTTTGGTTAAAGCGCGATATACTGTACGGTGTCGTAGTTTTATTCGGGTTAACAACTTCAAAACTTTGATAAAGTTTATATAGTGTAAAGTTTAATTGACAGTGACATTTAGATTCAGGATAGAGTGGATGAAGTTAGTTCTGTATTCCAAAAATATTACCGTAGGATTTTAAATATTAATTTTCTCCAGCTAAAAGTGGTTGACAAGAAAATATCAAAGTGAATATGATTAAAGATTTATGCAAAGAATAAGATATTGATAAATATGACAACAATGTCAAAGCGTGAATATCATTCTTAGGAATAAGATAAAACAAATTGTTTTAAAAATTATCCGAAAATACATTTATGATCTATCTTGTTTGGTGTGATTGACGCTCGGTTTTGCAGCTGGACGAGAACTTGATCGAAATGGGAATGAAATATTTCATTTTATTAGTGAATATCGTATTTGGATTATCTTATTTCAAAGGTATGAATTAATTTAATTTATGTCAATCTCTGTTTAAATGACGTATATTTTCAACTGATTTATTAACTCACAATACCTCTGTATTATTTCTTTTTTTGTTGTGTGCCGGACTTTGGTAAAGTAACCAAATTTGTTCTGTTTCTAAAATCGAACCGTCCGGTAGTCTCAATAGTGTGTATCCGAAAACTCTAGAAAGACAGTATTAATAAACCTGCCACAATGATGGCATACATGTTTTACAAGTATTTCTTGCTTTTTTTTTCATACATATTTTATCCCAAATTAATATAGAAGACTGAGCATTGCAGTATGTTTAAGGCTGTTGTTTTTTGTTTTGTTTTTTCAGTTCTTTGTAATTTATATCATGATATAATTATGTAACTGTATCGCAGTGTTCACATTTTTATAACAAGAACGTCTGCCTCATGAATATGTAAAACTTCAGTTCTAGTTTTTTTTTTGTTTTTTTTTTTTTTTTTTGTTTTTTTCCTAAATTGAGATGTCGGATTTTGACCCGAGCAGGATCAGCTTCAAACGGTTAATGTGATACCAATATAGTTTTTCAAATGATACTCATTCGTTTATATAATGATGGCCTTGAACGACTCATGTTGTATCGGTTGCATTGTTTTAAAATTGCCGACTTGAAATAATGCTTAAATTTCTGTACTATTCTTGTTCTATTTGTGCATTGAAAAAAGTCGGGGTTTCTTGCGATAATGTTCAATGAGCCGGATCATTAATGATAGTTTCGTTTGCAGTAAATGAGATGTTGCCCTTAGGGGTATGCAGCAGGGTTTATAGCTTTGCGCCCTGTAATTTTTTAACACTTTAGGTGAATTTATTACTCTCAAAACGAGTTCTGTATCAAATTGAAACACCAATCGAAACCTACAAATATACAATTACGTGCATTTAAATATTGTTTGTTTGTCGTTCGTTATTTCTTTTAATACAGATACATCAAGAATGCTAGGAAACGAAGACTTTTTATTCAGTTACTAGGAATGTTAAATATTATTTTCTTTTTATTTATTTTGTTTGTTTGTTCCTTTTGCTGGACAAAATACAGTTATGATTAAAATAAACAATTCAATTGCATGTGCACGTGTTAAGTATTTTCTACGATGTCCCTCTGTACCATAGTTAGACTACGCTCTTCGACTGTATTGATAGAAAAAAAAATATTCACCTATTATTATTATTATTATTATTATTATTATTGATATTTTTTTAAAGATTTATTTCACAAGCTTTATTAAAACTTGCACTTGCTAGTATATTTCTAGAGAAGTGCAATTATTATTACGTTTATCAAATGTGGGGCGTCCGTTTTCGAGTGATTAAGATCTTGACTTGAAACCTCTTGCCTCTCACCGCTGTTGGTTCGAGCTTCTCCAGGGTCATCGGATTCTTTCATGTAAGAAAGCTATGCAGCTAGCGTACGGAACGTCTGTGCTTGTAGCCAATAAATTATGCACCTGAGGTCTTTCTTCACCAGTAAAGCTGGAAAGTCGCTATATGATTTATACTGTGTTGGTGCGACTTAAAAACCCGACCAAATCAAAAATAACTCAAATACCTATGCACCACGGGATGTTGTCACACTTATACCGTTAAGATTGAAATTGGTCACTGTACATCACTACAATACTTACTTTTTTGTCTTACAACATTAATGTCTTCCTTATACTTTAAAGTTTAAACAGTGAAAATAAAGGCTTTTTGTTAATTAACAGTACATTGCGTCTTGGACAGGACGCCCTGTCTTAAGGCCTCACCAGACGGTAGGATTTAGTTGTACAGCACTAATTAGAGATAAGATGTACAATTTTCAAAGCTATTCAGACGGTAATTCTACACTGTAAGAATCATCTGAGGTGTCCCCTTAAAAGGATCCCTTTACATTGATCCTTTACATACTTTACTCACTAAATACTTTTTTCGCCATGAGTAATGATTGAAACACCTCCATTTAAAAAAAATATAGAATATATATTTAATATAATATATATATATTTTTAATGTGAAGCCTGACCGAGACTCAAAACTGGGACCCTCGGAATACCGTACTGTGGCTTTACTGACTAAGCTATCTGGCCGCCTACAAACTACCTCCCCTCCCCTAATTAGAGAACAATTCAATACCGTGACATAATCATTTTCGGAATAATTTGGGATTCGAACATAACACAACTTTGGGTCTCCTGAAGAGTTTTTCAACATCCTTTTTACCCAATCTTACTACTATGTTTTAGCCCTAATTGTTCTGGAATTTCATTCATTACACCCATTATCAGCAGATAATTTGGTTATCTGTAACTTGCCATTGTGGGAGGTCTGTAAAAATCTGTACGACAAGATTTTCAAAATAGAACATGTCCTATCCCTTACATCTAGACTTAAGGTTTCCGAAATCAAGAAATAGTAGCCTTCACACATTAAGATTTGTCTGTACATCTTAATTTTAATTGGTGTTGTACTTCAAAATCCTACCGTCTGTTACAAAGATGAAAACGTTGCACTTTAAGTTCTGTTATTTGAAAACTTGTTCATGAAAGGCACATATACAAATACAAAATACGTGTACTTGAGCTGTATTATATTCAAACTATTTTGCATTTCCTAAGAGAAAAATATTTCGTAGAAATAGTAATATACAAGAATTAGACGGGTTGTTGGAAAGATTCTGCAACTTTGTTTTGACATATGAGCATTTTCACTCGCAACTTTTGGTGATAACTTATCTTGAAACCGTCACATATATCTTAAATTAATAACGCATTAACTCAGATGTAAGACATGGAATAAGCGAGATCTTGGAGAGTTTGATTTATGTCTCACATTTTACACTTTTAATTCGCTGGAAGAAAATGTTGGTCTATGAAATTGTGCAGAAACAATGTATGTCTAAATCTACGTTGGCATATTCGTTATCATTATAAGCGATATTTTTATATGGTGGAATATTTCTGCCACCAGATAACCATATAACCAACTAGTTAATTAAGAGGTTAACTAGTTACGTAACTAGTTAACCTCTTAATTAACTAGTTAGTTATCAGGTTAACTAGTTACGTAACTAGTTAACCTCTTAATTAACTAGTTAGTTATTAGGATAACTAGTTACGTAACTAGTTAACCTCTTAATTAACTAGTTAGTTATCAGGTTAACTAGTTATCTAACAAGTTAACCTCTTAATTAACTAGTTAGTTATCAGGTTATCTGGTGGCAGAAATATGCCACCATATTTTTAATTATCTTTTATACGTAAGTTAATGACCATTAAGGTGTTGTTGTTTTTTCTGTTCTTTTTTTAATATTTATTCTAAGAAATTCACATCCATCATTTTTTCAATCAATTAATACTGCATCTGGTAATCTCAACATTTCAACAATTGTTGATAAAAAATGAGAAAAGATTTTTGTTATAATTATGTCTTCATGTTAAGCGGTGAATGAGAGCATAATCAACTGACAGAAATAATGTATACGTTTTTCAAAATGACTCCTGACTAAAGGGTAAGAGACATGGTATGGTATATGCTATGAAAAAGCTTCTGTTGTCCGCGGTTCTTACCTTGACACTAAAAAAATGAATTTACAAAACAGAAAACGATGCTACAATGAAAAGTCATAGTCTTAAGATCAAATTCAAGAATTTGATCAAGTCTCGTATGTTTTAGATTTTTTTATTTACATTATAAGGATATCTGTTACGCATCTTAGTTTTACAAACAATGTAACTTGCACCTTTTAATTTTGTTTGCCCTAGGTTTGAATTTGTAAACAATATATCACATGTCTCTCGGGGTGAGACACGCGGGGTCAAATAATCTACCCTTGCTGTGGTCTGAAATTAAATCCTTCCCTGTCATTTTAAAAAGATAAGGTTACTCTTGACACGACTATTTCTATGACAGCTTGTTGAACTTTCGATTTTCTGTACGTCTTTTTATCCCACTTTTGTAATTTAATAAATAAATTGATAATTAATTAATTAATTGATTAATAAATTAATTAATTGATTAATTAATTAAAACTAAATAGATAAAAAATAATTAAAAAATATATTTCTGATATCCCAGTATTGTCACATTTTACTTTTCTGGTCCTTCCGGATCATTGATTCCAATACTAATGTTGATTTGAAACCAATTAGGCCGATGCTAGGGGGCATCAGAGATGTTGCACTTTTCATTGTCTGTCCTAAACAGACTAATTTTATCTGCGTCTTTCAACTTTACGTTTTTGTTTTAATTGTTTACAAGGGATCTCTCATTTGGAGACTTTTAATTATCCACTAGCTGCAGAGATTTTTTTTCATAGACACATTTGGATGCTCAGATATCGATCCATGCTGGTCGCAAACCCATTATGTTGGTTTTGTCGTGACAAGGCTCATATAATGTAACTATAAACCCATTTTAGATAACTGAATTTCTAAACAATGTGCAATTCAGAAATACTCCTTTTCCATCTATGAAAATGGTTCTGTAATTGTCATTCACAAATTCGACTTTATAAAGATGATATGAAAAATTTAGATTTTTTAAAATGAGAAATGTATAATACAAGATCTTGATTTCAACTTTTAAGCTACTTTTAGGAGGATAGATGAAAAAATTTACATGTATAAATATTAGAAAGTATGATAATTATCATCATATCACAGGTATCACGAGCATTTCCATGCCGATAAGATAATTGTTTACACATTATAGTCGATAAAATAATTATTTACAAATGAACTTCTGATATTTTAGCAATATAAGGTCTACATGATCTTGAAAAAAAACAGACTGTTATCTTTTTTTTACTAACATCTACTAATTTAATTCTATTTTTTAGAAGAGATTTTTTTCTATATATATATATTATTTGTTTCAAATTTTAAACTTTTTGCTAAGAATGACTCATTGTCGTTAACTTGTCTTCCGTGAAGTTTTTACATCGTCTGCTTAAGTTTATGATGTATACGATGAAAGTTCTGTAGATA